GCGTATTTAAATAATTAAATGAAAATTCCACCTTGTTCTTTGTTTTCATTCAGTGGCCACCTGTTATGTTAATCAGCTTTCCACTCCTGTTGTGCTCATGAATATTTAAATTCATTCATTATTAACAGTCCCGGCTTGTTAATCTATTGATAAAACAGTACCGTTAACAAGAATGCATAATTAACTAGGTTGAAACTGTCCGCTAACGAAAGTAAGAAACATAGAACAATGGGGACAAGACAAAAAGTAGTATAACTTTTATTGAGGATCCATTGCAGATAACTTTGATGTTTGGTTTGCGATTGTATCTTAACAAATCATGTGGTTCGATTTTGTTGTGAAAAAAATATGGTTTTCATTGTTTGTATATATCGGCAAATACTGCGATGTTTGATATGAGGGGTATTCTTTTTATGAAAAGTGATAATGTATTTTCGCAATAGCAAAAAAAAAAAAGATGCTAAAAAATACCCGTTAAATGGTGAACCATTAGAATTGCTTTGGGTGGTGACAAAAAAAAACGATGTCAAGCATAGGTTTTTCCTTTCACTTTGATTTGTGTTATTTTTTTCAATGATGACTTCGCTGTATTTTTTATTTTCCCTGTATTTAGTTTATTTTTCCATAATAAATAGACCCAGCATGATTTGTTTCATGATTTTTTCTGTGTAGTGTTTGTTTTCAATTCTGTCAACACCCCATAGTTTCTAATGGTCCACCCTATCCGTATAGTCTCGTCAACCCTCTCTATATATGATACATGTTTTTTACATTTATTTCCTCGGCCTTTGGCTCTTTGACTATCATTATCACAATTTTTCATCGGAACATCTCTCAAAATTTTGATGGTGGTCTTTGACCGTAGCTGTATTTACATCATTGTACGTAAAACATACACTCACAATTTAGACAAAAGAGACATGATTAATATTACTGATGTGGCGAGAATGAATGTATTAAGATGTCTGTTCTATGTAATGTATGCAAACTTAGAGTTCTGAAGTATGTCTAAAGGAACATTTCAGTTAATTCGTCACTGTGAAAGTGGAGGTGCAACTTATATATATCCAACTTTGGGGCAGATCTGTAAATGAAATCAGAAACAAACTGATGCTTTAGAAAACTTCCTGAAAAATATGTGCGATTGTCTTGACTTTAACAAAACAACAAATTATACTAATACCAACATTTTCGTTTTGGTTTTAATTGACCGGAAGTGTGGCCTTTTTTTTTCAAAAGATAACAAGTTTCTTGGTTATGGTCACTCCATTATGTAATCATACGACAACATTGATAGCATTGGTAATAGTGTTCATATATACATTTTACTTAAAGTAAAATAATATTCATTGTCACGTAAATATTGGATAATTAATATGCATGTATTGCAACCAAACACATTTTTGGTCTGCGCATTATCCCAGAGCGTCTATATACCAAGGCTAATTTATATGTTAATTAATACGGATTTCAACCAAAAACTAATCAGGTCTGAGCATTATCCGAGAGCATCCATGAAATATGCATTTCTGGGCAAATGTTTTTCTGTTTTATTGTACTTTTGATCTATGTCCATTCTTAGGATACGACTTCAATAAAGACTACTATTGTTATATATTACACATACAGACGCACTAACCGCAGAAACTTCAATTGTTTGCTTCGCACACGGGAGTCAAAACAATGCTGTGAAAGGTGGTCTGTCTTCTCTAAATTACGTACACATTCCATTGTTGCAGGAATTCTCGTGGAAGGGAACAATAACGGATTGAGTTTTGTAACGAGTGCCAGTATTTTATTTCAGCGAGATTCTACATTATTTCTCACCCAACCTTGTGTCTAATGTTACAATCCTCATTGAGCGTGGTTTGATGTTTACGACTATACCACATAGTTGTTGGATTTAACATTCACCTGTGCATTCACGTATTGTAAGTTGTGTACATTAGGTGAGTAACCTTGTGACACGTGGCACTTCCATGCTACATTACAGAATTTGTATGTAATGTGAAAAAAGGTATAAAAAAGGTATAAAAGTCACTTAAACTATAGACTAAGGTATCCAGAATTTATTTTAAAATTCAGTATTCCATATCTTGTTTTCGGGGTCCGTTATTTCATTATATTTTGGAAAGATACACGTAATTCTACAGTTGATCGCAGCCTTGTAAGTAGTTCAATGACCCCCCTCACCGAAACGCCTTACACTCCTATTACACCCCAGAAAACGGAAGGCACATGAGCTGCCATCTGTGACCGAATGCCGTTCGTATTGCGCCCTCAATCCGTTAAACACATTCAGCCATACAATTCGGGGGAGTTACACGCTTACACATTCTTCTAGTTATGTATCTTCTAATGATTTCCACGGTGGTTGACTGCAGAAAATAGCCTCACAGTGGGGATGTTGAATGCCGCCATGACGACGTTCTCATATAAGGAAATTTGACACCGCCTAGGACTGAAAGATAACATGATCTTTAATTTTATTTCACGACAAATTAAAAAGCAGAAATAAAATGATCGTAGTAATATGCAATGAATAAACTGTCAGGAGATCTTGGGTATCGGGCACATGTTTAGATCTCTTGTGCGGGGAAGTTGTAATTAGCATCGCTGTGAAACATTTCCCACATTCGCCCGCCCTCCCCCGGCGGTGGTAAACATTAATAGACGCATTATCTGAGAGGCTGATAACCCTATTCTATGACACGTTTCAGCTTCATTCAATCTTACATGTAAAGCTCCATAATTCAGTACACGTACGTTTTAAATGACGCAATCAACCATAACGGTGGGCGGAACCCTAAATAGCATGAACGCATATTATTTCATCATAAAACATCATGATGCTCTTATAAAAATGGACAACACAATTGAGCGATAATTAAAAATAAACCCATCCTTTTTTTGTATAATAGAACGTTCAATTACACACATACAGAGATACATCTGTTCCCCGCAAGCTCTGTGATTATTGTGGCATCACCATATCCGTATCACCCCCACTCTGGCGCCAACATTTATATAATGACGGCGTTCTTTAAATATGTGCCAAATTAATTACAGTTGTACGTTAGAAATTCCATTACAACTTGTTGTTATGTATTTAGAATGAGTACTGTGAGTTGTCCTGAAAACCACAGGGTCATGGAAGGTCATCGAGTACATTTACTCACACTGAGCAGTTCCTATAACGTGTGAAACCTGGAAGCTTTCTTTGAAAGGTGATTGAGTCAATATTGTGGTCGTCTTCTCAAAGTAATTGTCTTTTGAGAGTACATCAACGATAGTTCCTATTTCACTCGACCAACTGAATGCTCAATCACTGTCACTTAACGCTTATAAGCGGTAATCGTTATATGGAACAGAGTTGTGCTTAAAAGCTACGAAGTGACAGAATAACCCGAGTCATTATCAAATTAAGGTCTAATTAAAAAGGCCCTGATTGGTTCAAAGTTGGACAGTCACGTGACTTACATCTTTCCGTGGCAATGGCGGAGTGCAGCAGTAAGCGGTGTTCAACTTCTCGACACATAAAATTCTTCTATGTTGCGTTTGTCTTCCTGTTTTTAGTGACTCTGTTAGGATTTTATGCAACGTTCAGACACGTCGAAAATCTAAAGAGAAATCTTTTGACAGACTGTGTTTGTGGGGAACAAAAACAACAACCGTTTACTCTCACCAAAACCAGAGTTCCTGATGAAGTCCAGCAACACGGAAAAGGTGGCAATGGTGAAGACGAGAACAGGAGAGTAAAACGCGAATTGGATTGGAATAGTAGATCGGATTGGGCCTGGGTGTCGACTTATGCCAGAGTACCGGTGAGTGATTTCTTCCAGTTTCGTGCCAGGTTGCGACCCCGCTTGTGACAAGCAATATAATTAATCCCACAAATTAGTGCAACGTGTGGCCAGTCTATATTTGTCTGTTTTGTTTGTAAACATACCCGTTCAGTACCGTTGGTTTTACATCGTACAATACCAGTGAACATACGTGTTTGCGAAATCTAAGTAGCGTCATATTAACCGTACAGTTTATAGCTGTGGACAAGAGTATTATTTTACGTAATATTTATATTGCCCTAGTAGTTGGTTCATTGCGTCGAAACAGTGGCCTGTAATCCCGTGGCCAGTAGTCTGTATTTTATGGGCCCACTCAGGTATCACCAATTCATTCATTGAGCACGCCATACAATACAGCTGTCAAAGTTCAAGCCAAATAAATTTGTTGTAGAGGGGATGCTATTTTTTACGTATGTTTTATTAACGTTTGGGGGTATATTTAAAAATAAATGTCTTTTAAGAGCAGCCAACCGACGTACAAGAAATGTTTATTAAGAGTTTACAGTAGATCTAAAACATTTATTTCCATCACAAACTAGTCCAACATAGTTTTACCACATGGCAGCTGCAGATGTTCTCTTAGTTGATGTCAAGGTCCTGTCAACAAGCCAGGCAGAAAAGTCACTTCAGTATTTCTGTCAGCAGGAAAACCATTATCATCAGTTCAAACCAATTTTAATCCATTAATCCTCAACTGTTTAATTAAGAATGTCTTAATTGCAGTACAGTCTTTATCCCTTTTCATAACTGTACCCAGTCATTTACCGTAGTACATGTTCCCAGCCCACTTTAGGCAGTAAATGTTAATGGCTGTGAGTTGGGACTATTGTTCAACATTTCAATACAAGAGTATGATAATTTTCTCATCTGTATTGTCCTCTGCCAGGGCAAAATAATTTAGGTTTGTTCAAGCATAAGGCGCTTTTATCATTGTAATGAATGTGACACAAAGTGGTTTTCAGGGTGGCTCTCAGAGTATATCATTGGCTCTATTCTTAGAGTAATGATTGAACATCTACTATGATGATACATCCCTGGAGGGCTGAGGGAAAATTAATAGCTGTACACAGAGGGTGCATCTGTCATAAAGAAATGTCAAAATACTACAGGGCATACCAGTTGCTACAAATATATAATAGTTATTCTGAACCAGTGACCTTAAAATTCAACACTTGTAAAACGATGGAACACAACAGGTTATAAGTCAGGTTAAGTTTGTACACAGCAACTGTTAACTGTAATTCTGATTTACTGTGGAATATTTTTTGGATGGGGTTTAATTCTTTCTTTTAAATTCACTGATCTGTGAAGGTCTTTATTATATAATCTACTAGTAACTTTGTAAATTCTTTGGGTTTTAATTTAGTACATTTTGTAACCAGAATATGTGAGATATAAAACCAGAAAATAAACCTTACTTCCCAGTCGATTAATTACTGTTGCAAAAAGTTTTCAATTTTAAGGGAGGATGTATTGTTCTTGTTCCAATGACTTAACTGACCCTGAGAAAGTTTTGAAAGAAAAACAAAATAACAAAGTAACAAAATATTTATGAGAAAAGCAATTTCTAGAGTAACGTTCCAGAAAAAGTCATGCAAAAAACTAAGTGAAAGAAACAAAGTAAATGACTGTTTTTCTACCATCTCTCTATCCTAATAATCAATTTCTTTAGGTAAAAAATATGATGTAGTTTGTTACAGATTTTGTGAACTTTCATAGCACGTTGCACAATTTCAAAATGCTGTCCAACAACGTTAAATGCAAGCAAATAGAAAGTAAGGTTGTTAAACTAAACAGAGTTGAAGAATGGCATTTAAATTTTCTATTCAAGGAAGCAGCTACTCAATTTTATTTACCAGCACTTTTTAGAGACTTGACACATTTTTGTTATTAAAATGACCACTATAACATCAAAGCCACACCTGAATCCATAACTACACTAGTGTTAAATTTTTGTTTACTGAATACAATGGTTGATATTTGTATACAGTCACAACTCTAGTCTGAAGTACTCTAAACAGTTCTCATTTCAAGCTACAATGACGGACTACTTTTCAAAGTTGAGATTAAGTTTCAATCACTCTTATTTTAAAGGACAATATGGCAGGTTCTTATAAAGTTATTGACTTTCTGAAAGCTTGTCCAAGAGGTGTTCGAGGTGAGAGCATAATGTACAAAGAGAAAACAATGAAAAATTATTAAAATTTACAATATTGCAAGCTCCTTCAATAAATGAATAAATTGTTTTTGTTTATATTTTTGATGATATAAAATTAAATGTTTTTATTTAATATCTTCACCAGATTGACAAAAACTTGTTGTAAATTGTTGGCGATAATTATTTTTATAACACTTATAGTGACATTGTCTTTGTGCTGCACATGTCTAGATTTTTTTCTTTACCAACAATAATTTTGCCACACTGCGTTTTTCCTTTTAAAACAGAGTAGTAACAAAAGATCATTGTGCAGTAATGAGGTGGATTTTGAGTTTTGATATTAGAGAAATTGAACAAGACATCTAATCAAGTTTGATTCTAAAGATGTTCCTGGTCGATAGAGGAGATGTGGGTTATGCCCATATTTGTTAGCTTTGGTAGCCATTTTAAGTTTGATAACAATGCAAAAAAATGATTTAATACTTGAATAAAATCTATGAAATTCATATAGAAGAATGAAAATAAATATTGATACAATTTTTAAAAGTGGTAATTTAATCCTGTCTTGGGGTAGTGGTAAGAAAAAGATTGGCTCTAATTTATAAGTAAGGACAATTATAAAGAGAATATGAATGAATTAGAGGTATTTAATGTCCGTCAATTCCTTCTAGTTTCATAAACTAAAAAACATCAATGTGTAGATAATACATCAAATTTATTTGGGATTCTGAAATTTATTTATTTCATGTTTGTTGTAATTGCATGTCTGGTTTTAATTTTCACTAATAAAGAAATCATTGATGTGGAAGGCTCCCTAGCTGAGTGAAGTATTTAGAGTACCGGTAGATGTAAACCCAACAAACTTACTGTACATACAAATCAAGTTTATATCCTTTAAACGTCAAAGTCAACTTTTGTTACCTTCCACCAAATAAACTCACATGTAGCCATGGGGGAATTATAAATGTATGTCTATTTAGTTCAAAATTAATAAAGAAAATATAATAATAGATAAATACATAACTAATTTGTGAAATGTTGCACTAACATCTTGGAGAGAGAAAAATGCTGTTCAAGGGACTCCAATTTTTGCAATCCCCCCCCCCCCCATCTATAATTAGTGTGGTACCAAATGAATACACTCTGGGTACAGGTGACATGGTGTATGGTTACTAGCATACATGTCCTGAAATAAACTTGTTTGAAAAAAAATTTCCATCTGTCCAGTTGACAAACATCAATCTTTTGGTGATTGGATTTAGTCGTCTAACTGATGCTGGATATAGTTCAATTTTTGCTGCCCGTAACTATAGTATTCACTGTACGGCTCCCTGTCAGTGAGATTTTCTAAATGAAAGCAGTTATTGTAATCCTGAATGTTGTCACCTTATTGTATGTTATGCTGACTAATGGTGATGTCAGTAACGTTATTTTATTGACACTTATTGTTGGTTAAATATTATTTTTGGATTATGTTTACATATTATAACCTCAGAGAATGGACATTTGAGATATATACTTACATTAATAGTAGATTATGCAGATAAATTTAACACAAAAATAAAATCTGTTGCACTGTCAGTAATTAGAATTGTAGAACTGGTTGTCTACAAGGAAATAAAATTATTTAATAAAATTAACGATAACTTTTTTTACCTATCACAAAATGTTGTTTTTAAAACTGCTCAAATAATGTCATGTTTTTCAATGAAACTGTACCCGTACTATGTGATAATACTTTTTGTATTTTTTATATTTATTTTTTTGGTTATCCTGAATGGATAACCAGTTTTTAATTTTGATTGCCGAAGACAAAACTGTTGTTTGAAACAACCAAACATCTGATAATTTCTACATCTAAGATGAATTAATAATAATGAATAATATAATTTATAATATGTTTATAAAAACTGTAAAATTTTTATTCATGAATCACTCAAACTGTTACTTCTACAAAAGTCACAAATATTCTCTTGTCTTGTGAGAATGTATATTTTGTGAAATTACAGCAGCTAGTGTACAAAATTTAGCAAATTTATTGCGTATAAGTAGAGTTCAACACTCCAGGTAACATGGACCTACAACGTGACAACTATGAAAACAGCTTGCCATGTGTTTAAATGTAGGTCATAATTTATGAGGCTTTGAGGACAATAGTTATCATAAGTTGACCACTCAAAGTGGAACACCAGTTCTAATCAGGTAAAGTTCAAAATTAAAACTTTTGTTTGTATCCAATAATAATCTTTCAACAAGGCATATTTGTAAGTGCATTGTTGCATTAACTATTAGAATTAGTATAATCTGCAAACAAATATTAATTTTTCTGATCGCTGTATGCAAAAGTTATGTCACACCCTTTTTTTGTTCAGAATTATGAAAAAAATGAAAGAACAATTCTGTTTTCATGAAAGATCATAAATTCAATGACAATTTCAGATTAAAGATAAAAAAAAGTAAAACCGTCTTCACAAGTTGATTTTCGAGAACAAATTCACTAGAAACATATTTTTAGCCTGAGCTATGATTGTAAAACTATGAATTGATGTTTGAAGCAAACTTTCAACAAAGTCAAGATCATTGAAATGTTGCGTACACTGTACATACAAGTGTAAACAAACAATTTTTTTTTATTTTTAAGACAGGTTATGGTTATAAAAAGTGATTTGTGTTAGGGCATTAATGGTTTAATATTCAATGTACTTGCTGTTGGCAACTAATTTGTATTGTGTGTGATAGTGGCAGGTATATGAAATGACCTCTTTTTCTGATCAATAATGTTGTCATGACATTGGTTTAAGCGTACAATGACACACATTCA